TTAGGCCTATTTAAAAAGCACTTTATAAACACAAAATTACAAGTTTAAAATATAAAAAAATGACCATTTGCCCCTTCTAAAAGGTAGTTTCATATGGAGAAGAATGGACTCCATACTTACTCTTTTAAAATAGTTTTTACAATATTTTGTATGTACATTCAGTATACAAAATATTGTAAAAAATAAAAAATAAATAATGTGTTTATTTGTTATAAGTTCATATGCATTACGATGTGTAAGATTTGGGAACCCTTTTAAGTAAAAAATACCTGTGTCAGGGTTCCCAGCCCTTGCATAACATTGAACGATTTGATAATTATAATTCTGTGAAGAATAAAAAAACCTACTATACTAAAATAATAGGCGCATGGCGTTATAAAAACAATGCAGCAGAAAACTAAATTATTATGTAAATACATGGTGCTCACATATTCACAAATCTTACAACTAAAGATTAAATTATTCTTTATAGAAAAAAGAAACAATTAACCTACAGTCAAACAGTGTGTGAGTTACATCGAAGTTGATTTCTTAATATTTTCTAATTATCTGTCGTTAGGTATGTTCGTAAGAAAGCCAAAAAAAATATGAAATTAAGTAGAATACCTAAGTACTTACTACAATGACTGTAAATAAAGACGATACTTATATGTCAGGTTCAGGTAAGTGCCAAATCGTAAATAAATGTATATACATCTTAATATATATAAATTATATAGATTGTTTGTCCGCTATGGACTCCTAAACTACCGAACCGATATCAATCAAATTTGCACACCGTGTGAAGTTTGATCCAACTTAAAAGATAGGATAGCTTACATCTCAATTTATACCCGCAATATTATTTTATTGCAAATATTTGTTTATTATTTGATACAATTCTAACAGATGGCGCTGTGTTGAAAGTACTCTTTTTACACAAAGAGCAAAAATCTCTGATTAGAACTATAACAGTTTTTTTTACAGCAAACGGGTTGGCGTGATGTTAAGTGATAGTGGGCCCATTCTGGTAATGTGCCCATGGAGACACACTACCGGAAGGCTCGCAAGTGCGTTCCGGGCCTTTTAATTATTTCGCTCGTTTCTTGAAGGAACCTAAGTCAAATTGATTCGAAAACATTTTAGAAAATTAAAAGTTACTAGCAGACCGGCCAAGCGTTGCTGTGGCTAAGGTTTTAGTTATATTACATAGTAGTAACCTATTCAAGGGAAACGTTAGGAGAACACCAGTCATGGGGACCATCATGCTTTTTTGGTGGTAATGCCATTAAATTGTAGCTTATTTGAAACGTTGGTACTTTCAACACAGCGCCATCTGTTAGAATTGTGACTATCAAATAATAAACAAATACTTTGCAATAAAATAATATTGCGGGTATAAATTAAGATGTAAGCTATCCTATCTTTTAAGTTCAAGTTCTTTTAAAATCAAACTGCACACGGTGTGCAAATTTGATTGATATCGGTTCGGTAGTTAAGGAGTCCATAGCGGACAAACAACGTGATACGTAATTTATATTAAAAGTTATTACATCGTAACTGATCATCAGAACGAATGCATTGCTGCATCAAAAGCTTTTCTAATGACAAGAACCTGTCTGCATCCAAATGATGGTTAACGTACAAAATTTTCATACAATCACTACTTGTATTCAGCACGACGCGCTCGTTAGTAAATGATGGATATCAGGGAGCGTTTTTAAAATATTCCGAAATTATTTTGGGAAAAATTGTATGATGCAACTTGTATCATGCAATCATGATGAATATTTTCATAACAATTAAAAACGGCTACAATATAATTTAACTTATTTAAAATTTATTTCTAAAAAGAAGAACGATAGAATTGATTTTACCTACTGTTACAGCAAGTAACTAATGTTAAAATCGCAATTATGTTCGGGATATCGAAACAAAGCTTTATCAAAAATGCTTTGGCATGGAATCGTTCTTTTATGACCTACAAAACCGGTATTTCTTATAGTTACATTATGTCAAATTTATTATACAATGGGTAAGTTTACGCACGAATCAATTTGCAGGCTCCACCGCACCATATGATTTAATCGTTGAGTGATAATTAATTTGAAATAGAAAATTCAAACCTTACGTACCTTTAACGCTGGCAGCATTTCCTCGCTGTATTGCGATACTTATTCGTTGAGCCAGGAAAGTGCCAGCTCTGGGGTCTAGGCGCTACTAGGCGCCAACTTAAATCTTTAACAAGCGCCTGTGCACTTGAACCCCACGGACCAAGAGTCTCTACTCCGAAGGGAACAAAATCGAAGTTTTAGGAAAGACTCTTATATTGTGTGTTAATGAAGAATAATAATTTAATAGTATAGGGTTAAGGAAAAACTAACACAAGTAAATTTAGGATCCAAACTTAACTAACAAAACTAATAATTGTATGTAAGTGAACTAACTTAATCTAATCTAACTTCTTGTTTTATAAGCTGTAAGAAATAAAAGAAATAATTTTTAATAATTTTATTATTTATTAAATATAAATCTACACGTGAACATACGAGTAGAAGACATTTAAAAAGAGTTCGACCTTGTGGTGTTACCTAGAGACACAAAAATTTAAAAATTAAACCTGTTAACGCTATTAAATTTATAACGTTCATGGAATTCATAATTATTCAAATTATTATTTCTAATATTGAAATATATTCATCGCTACAAGGAAACTTAACGGATATATGAAACTAATGAGATAAAAAATATGTTGAAGGATATATAAAAAGACATATCGTATAGACAATAAAAGGTCAACACAAAAATCCAATTTTGAATAATTTCAATTTGAAAGTTATTTGTTCTTAAAAACGTTTATCTACAAGATGTATGACCCAGGATTTTTTTATCTAACGATGATTTTGTTCGATTTCGAGGGGATCCTTTTGCTATGCAGGTGGTTGTTGAAGACTTAATCAAATGGCTGGTTCACAATACCAGGTACCGCGGAACTGGTGCTTTCATTGCGCAGCGTAGTAGAGTCGAAATCAGCGATCGTCGATTTTCGTCGTTCCACAACTGAGCGTTTTTAACGCTATATGGATCCAGCTGCCCACTGAAGTATTACGAACCAATTCCACTTAGGGTCTTTCAAGAAAAAAGCCAACCAATTCTTAAAAGGCCGTCCACGCACTGGCGAGGCCTCTGGAATTGAGAAATGGCCGGCGGTACTTAAAATACACATTACACTTAACATCAGGTGATGTTAAAATTGTTCCATTAAAAAAACGATTCATTTCATGATTGGAGTACCTTTATAGAGGGATCATTTATTAATGAAATATCAAGATTTTATTCTATTTTGAGATTTGGAAAAAATATGAAAATCTTTATTATAAACATTAGAAGTATACTTAGTAAAAAACCTTTATCGTCAAGCAATTTTGATAAAACAATCAAAAATTAACTTATATTTCGCATACATTTACCATAAATAATATTTGTAAATATATTTTTTGGATCATAAAAATCAAAAAGTGTTTCGCAAGGTGTTTTAAGGTCAAAAAGTGTTTTATACGATAAAACGATTTGGAAGAACACCTTGCGAAATAAACCACCATAAATGGATTATTTTGACACCTGATATGTCGATGAATTACTACAGATAATAAAATCCTTTTAAATTTGCCGTGCCGTGCTAAGAAGCTGAAATGGAATCCCTTAGTTCGATTCCCAGGTTTTGGGAATTTAGATTCCGTGTTGAGGCAAAGGAAGCTCGAATCGATCACGTTGAGTAAAACAATAATGAATGAAGGTGAATTGTTTGCCCCGCCAGTTAACGATACTTCATTTGTAAAAAATGCTATTTTTACACGCTTTATATTAGCTTCACCTGTATGTATGTATGTATGTATGTAACCGACTCCTTCGGACTCGATTTTGACCCACTTTAAACGGACAGATTTTATTCAAAATTTGCGCACCTGTCAAAGATCGATGACAATGCAATAATCCGAAAAAAATAAATAAAAAAAATTTAACTAAAAAATAAAAAATAAATAATAGTTTTTTAAAACGCGTGGGGCGCTCTGTGCCATTTCACAATAATACCAGTATTTTTTGTTCATTACCATTTTCAGCCTAAATTAGGAATTATTTTTGACTTTTTAGTTTGATGTGCTTTAAAAGCGTGTTTTTTAGTTTTTTTAACTATTATTTATTTTTTAGTTAATTTTTTTTATCACTGCCACAGGGCCTGTATTATATATTTCTCAGTATTGCTATACTGTATATGTGATGAATAAGGTTTCCATATACTGTTATGTAAGACGAAAGCTACATACATAGATTTCGTATTAAAAGTAGATATTTCACACAAATTACTATGATTTATTTTACGTCGTTATTTTAACTATTAATCGTATAGGAGTAAAAGTAAAAAAGCTATATACTCAATTAATTGTAATTGTTAAAGCTGGGCGGGAATCTACGTATCTTTCAAAATTTTACTTCTGTATCGCCAATACACGTGCATGACATACATAAAACTATTTTTATGTATGTCATGCACGTGTATAGGCCATAGATATTTATTTCATATACACAAATATACAGTATTCACAATATTCTTAACCTACAGAGTAATAATAATAATTAACTATGATAAATAGAACATTTTGACAAATTTAATTATTCCCTGTGGCAGTGTACCTTTAATACTGGCCGCATTTCCTGGGGAATTTTCTTTATTTATAAGCATGGCGATTCTCGATTTACTATCCAATTAACAATATTCAATTTTCCTAGAAACTATAATTTTTATTTAATATGAATTATTATTAAGACCAGTAGTCGCGGCGGGTAGCATCCGAAATACCAATATCGCGTTCACCTTGTAACATCCAAAATCAAATTCTTTCTTGCAAAATAATGCAAATTACGATACTTAGCCATAATCGAATCATCTCGGTCGGGTATAAAACGCGGCACATTTATCTTACAATCATAGTTTGACATTGCCTGTTAACTTGACACATACCATGGTAAGCAAACGCATCCACATTTTATTTCATCGATTTTTCAACAATTAATTATTATTTTATTTCTTATAAACTTTTAATTTTTACTAAATAATAATATGTCTCAAAAATTTTACTAACTTTTAGCTTTTTTTATTTTTAATATTTGATTTTATTAAATTTACAAAAATATCTTGTAAATTCATTAAATATTGAACTTTCATAATAAATTTCACACATTCATCAGCATTTTCTGTAAAAAAATTATCAATCTCTTATAGAATATAATAAAAATCAGTGGCGCTAGAACTTCTTTAAGTCTGGGCCTCAGATTTCTGAATCTGTTTCATGATCATTTTTTTATCCAATAGGCAAGTAGGTCAGCCTCATGTGCTTGACACTTGACTTTTTTTTGGGTCTAAGACATGTCGGTTTCCTCACGATGTTTTCCTTCACCGTTTGAGCGAATTTTAAATACGCACATAGAAAGAAAGTCCATTGGTGCACAGCGGGGGATCGAACCTACGACCTTAGGGATGAGAGTCGCACGCTGAAGCCACTAGGCTAACTCTCATCATTCATTCTCTCCAAATCGAGAGTACCCAGCGTTATTAAACAACGTACTCTAGAATACTAAGTTAATAAATAAATTATTTTCCAGAAATCCTTCGTAGCCATCCTCGCCTTCGTGGCCTTAGCCGCCGCCGATGTGTCCCACATCGTCCGCAACATCGACACTGACGCCCAAATCGTTAGCCAAGATGCTGATGTCTTCCCAGACCAGTACAAATACGGTTACGAGACCAGCAACGGCATCAAGGCCCAAGAGAGTGGAGTACTGAAGAACGCTGGTCTCGTGAGTATTAAACTTTGACGGATTTTGATCTATTTGGATGAGCTCCTTTTGAGATATTGTCAGACACAGTTTGACGTCCTGTAGGAGAGACCCGTTAAAAAAATAAGCTGATTTAAATATCATACATTTTATAATTTAGAGGAAAAAATATAAAATAAGTAACTATTATCTTCTGATTAATAAAACTAAGCTCCTTATTAGTTAAAAGATATAAGCCAGTAATTTTACGAAATATTCTAGAAAACCCGCCAATTTATGCGTGAGTAAATAAGAATCATTTAATAGTCAAAAAAGGCTTTTATTGTTTAGCGCTTCTAATAAATCTAGTAAAACAAAAGTCCCAATCAAATTTTCGTTAAGACATTTAGATACGTTCGCGCACAAAAAAGCACTTAACAAATCTCCTAACGTTAACATTTAAATCACATCACATCTTCGCTCTACGCAATGTTCCGAAATATTTAAATGTTAATGAATATAAAAACTTGACCTTGGTATTTTGTTGAAGGCCGGGTCAGGTTAAAAATTCACTTTATTACCGCGTGTCATCGTGACCTTATAGATGATCGGAATGTTATTTAGACAATCCTGTTCGTTTGACATTAATTCTTAACATTAATATTTATAGGTGATAAGGAAATAATTTATTATAAAAACATATCCTTCAGTTGGCATATCTATCTCATATAAACCTTACATATTAAAAATCCTATAAATAAAAAATATTTCACTTGCCAAGCTTTTAATTTAAGTATTTCCACTTCTTGCATTTTTAGGAATTTCTCAAGTCTTTTTAAAGGTAAATTAAGAAAAATGAAAAAAATATTTTACGTACAGAGATTTTCATAATATTAAGTTTATTATACAAAAACCTATTTTGACAACTATTATCAAAACTTTGATATCAAAATTCAGTTTACACAAATAGCGAATAATAATGTAATTTTTTGTTTCTACAGGAGAACGAAGCTATTGAAACTCAAGGATCAAACTCATACACCGGCCCTGACGGTCAAGTATACGCTGTAAACTACGTCGCTAACGAGAACGGATACCAGCCCACTGTAAGTATTGTGTAACTATAGTGAAATTATTAATAAAACAAAATTTATATAAAGGGTACACAGTTCGCGTTTAACACCCAGGTCATGTAGTAGCCGAAATACTAAATGACGTCAAAAAATATAAATCTTTAAATTCGCATCCAAGGTAACTTAAGCTATTGATTATACAATAAAGATGATTCGCCCACGTGGATTGCAAAGTTGAGTTGTCCAGTTCGTACATACTGCTAAAATATTGTAGGTGGCATTGTATGGCTGTTACAAATGTGTTTAGGAATAGCTTGATTATCAAATAGGATTCTAATTGTAATATAGTTGTATTGATACTTCACACTTCACATTGATACTTCAAAGAGTCATTTCAATTACCATAATTTTGCGATTTAGTTACAGGCCAAATGACGCTACCGTTTCAAATCCGGTCAAATACCGTTCAAGCTTAACTATAAACGTTATAGTTTTCATCTGGAAGATTTTTTTGTGTTCACTATACTAACTGTAATTATATTGTTTCAGGGTGCCCATCTCCCAACCCCAGTCCCAGTACCAGACTACATCTTGAGAGCTCTTGAATACATCGCAACCCACGCACCAAAATCCGTTGCCCAACCTTTGTAAATTAGTTAATAACTGTTAAACCATTAGACACTGCCTATAATATTATTGTTACCTCTAGTCGCCCCTTTTAATGGAGCAATAAAAGGTTATCAAAAATTTCTATACTTTTATTTTTAACTCCGATATCTTTTCAACTGAATTCAGTGGATTTCAAATGATCTTCAGTTTATAAACAAAAAATATCGATTCTATCACATATGTAATTATCTAAATTAATTTACTAAGTTACGCGATATAAATATTATGTAGGCAGCCCCACTTGTAATTAAATAACAATTACTGTCAATTAAAGAAATGGTCTCCCCAGGTGGCGAAATCATATTAATATTTCAGTTTGATCTGATAATAAAAAAACACTATTTTTAATGATTCACCAATTTATATTCCGAGAAATGTTCACATCACGCAATGTCGACATCACAATGAATTTAAAACAAAGTGCCACACAAAATTTCGGAACGAGGTTATTAATTTAATTATGTAATTGCAGCGTTCGAAGCTTTATCAAAAGTTTTCGACTTGTATGTATTATATAGGTAGAGGCAGAGATCACTTATTTAATTATCAATTAAAAAGCCTTATCGTCTTGAGATTATTTTATTGGCCGTAATACCACCAGATGTTATTTATTATATATGTCAGAGCAATAGCTGTCAACGGTTTGACGTTGTAATTTATAAGCTATATTCATTGATCTCATGATTACTCATTGGTCTAGTGGTTAGTACCCCTGACTGCGAATCCATGGGTCCTGGGTTCGATCCCCGGCTGAGACGAACATCGATGTGATGAGCATTTGGTGTTGTGCTTAGGTCTTGGGTGTTTAAATATGTATTTATATGTCTATCTATCTATAATATGTATACGTATATCCGTTGCCTAGTACCCATAACACAAGCTTCACCAGCTTAGCATGGGACTTGGTCAATTGGTGTGAATTGTCTTGACTGAAACTCCAGTAGGCGATTGACGAGTGTACCTTGAATAGAGATGATTCAAGTTGTGTTGTTCCAAGGAACATTAAAAAAACTGTGGCTCTGCAACCCTTGTTCTTGGCCTCAGATAGCATGTCTTTTTCTTTCCAATAGGCAAAGAACATGCCGTCAACTTATTGGGTCTAAGGCCAGTTTCCTCACGATGTTATCCTTCACTGTACCAGCGAGTATTAAATGCGCACATAAAAAGTGCAAAGGCAGAGTTCGAACCTACGGCCTCAAGAATAAAAATTGCCAAGAATTGCCCAAGGAAAATTCGCCGAATAATAAAATTATAGAATTTTTAAACAATAGTAGGGGAAAAGCCGGAAGTTGCCCCACTTTTCGAAAAAGCTTTATATTTTTTAAATTTGAACTTGCTGAAAATTATTCAGTATGTATCTCGCAACATAGGTTTTTATCTTCTATAAAAGCCTATTTTAGTATACATAATTAACAATGGTTTTGAATAAATACCTTATCACCTCTCAGAAGGAATCCTACTTGGCGGATAGTAGCCTAGCGTAGAAAAGCCTCGGGGATACTTGCTCGTGCTTTATTTTGGATAAAATAAATTTATATCAAAAGAGTAATTATTATTTATTAAGCTTTAAATTACTGAGATTTTTTAACAATTTGAAATATTAAGAAAAAAAATTCTCCTCACGGAAGTACTGATTAACTTTTAGCACCTTTTTAGCTTCCAATTTTGATGAAGCAGTTAAATATTTTATCGACTTCAGCAAATTTTTCAGTTATAGTTGAGTTTGAAATAATTTGCAACTTCTGTTCTGTGAGACCCTAGCTCTTTCAATTGATAAACCCTCAGCTTGTCTCAAGTTTCAGGATTTTTTCAAGAAAGCTTTTTAGCCATTGAGGTCCAGCATTTTACTCTCATTAAAAAGAGTTTAATCCCACTTTGTTCAACTTTTCGAAGGAAGTAAGCTATTTGTCCAGTTGATGTTGAGAGGTTTTGTTATCTAAATAAATATAAAACAAGAGAATTATTTAATTTACAAAATTAGAGACAAGTAAATTCGAATAAACATCAAAAACAGAAAAAAAAAAATCCGTCGGCTTGTTAAGAAATTTTTACTTAGGGGCAACTATCCGCACGAGGGACTATCCTTTTGATGCGTTGCCCTTATTTGCGAAATAAATAAAAATTATTTAGAAAACATGATAAACTGTGTAATTTAAACTCTAATGCATGCAAAGAAACAAAAGTTGACTGAAACCACGATCAGTAATAAAAATATTCAATAGAAATTACTTACCAATATAATTAAACGCCCGTCACTTCGCCCGGATTTGCTCAACGGACAAAATACTTGGGCTTTCCGATGGCACGTGGATTAGGCCTGAGGGGAGTCACTACTTATTGTAGTAAAGCCCAATACAACTAAAATCCAAATTTTAAACACCGGGGATGTATCCGTCCGAGGCAACTATCCGGCTTTTACCCTATATCTTTTACAATGAATATAAACCTCATACAATTTTAATTGAGTACTCTCATTTATAATGGGTTCATTGCAGCCCAACAGTGTTTGCGGTACGGCAGGACAAATATTGTCCCGTCGCCAACAGCCTTTATAGCTAATGAGAGTAATAAGTTCCTTTTCAATCAACTCTTGAATTATAAAGTTTTTTTTGTCTTTTACTTGGAGGACTACCCATTTTACTCGGTCCGTTAGCTGTCTCTCAGGTCAGGTCTAGTGGGAGATTTACAAATTTTCAAGGTTGTGAAGTTTCTGCCGCCCTCGCCTCTACAATTGTCCTGGATTATTTTTACAATCCAAAAATTTCGTTGGAATTGAAAACAATTCGGCTTCGATTTTTGAGCACAAAATTATACACAAACCATTCAGTTCGCAGTCTCCAACCAGTAGTAAGACTAACATGTATATTGTATAATATGTGGATAAGGGGAAGAGGGGACATGATATGACATGACATGTGTTAACTGACGGCTCAGAGGTGGATTACTGGTTGGAGGGCGGCGAACTCGCTGGTTTTACTCTAGAATATGGATTTTTGCTAAACCAAATTTACAATGACTATTTATCTATTTCAGATCTGAAAACCTTTAGAAAACTTTTAAATCTGTTTGATTTCTATTAGGTAGCTAAAAAAATTCGGACCCTAAATTTGCCGCCCGAAAAATCTGCCGCCCTAGGCTCCAGCCTACTCAGCCTGCTGGTAAAACCACCTCTGAAGACTACATTTGTAATTAGATTGCTACTCAATAGCAACTTTATTTCAGAGTGTATTCTGAGCGTCTATTCGCTGAAACTAGCTATGGTTTTAGATGAGATTTAATCCTCCAGTGCTCCGTGACACTCCAGTATTAATTTACTGTTTGTCTTTTTGTCACCGAGCGCCATCAGCACAGATGCACTATCGGATACGAACTTAATGCAAAAGTCATTAATTTCTAACCGCTGCTCAGCCTTGGCTGCTTCAGTTAGAGCGACACATTCACACTAAAAAATCGTGCTGAGTGCGCCTAAGGATAGGTGTACGTTGATGTTGAGATCAAGATAGAATATGCCAGCGCCTGAGCCACACCCTGTTTTTGATCCATCGGTATATATACGTAGCTCATTCAGGGTTGACTGATCATGCTCCTCTTCTCTCAATTGTATGTGGTATTTCCTGTTAAATATGAGTTGGTTAGTGATTCTATCACATGGCGCAGCTATAAGAGGTTGATACTCTATCGCCCTATACTATAGTGATTTTTTCCCCATAGATCCAGTACCATAAGCCTGATAGCAGCTAGGGCTGTCTCCTGCTGTATGTGTAGGTCTAGAGGTATAATCTGCAGGGCTATCTCCATTTCTGCAGTTGGTGTTGTTCGCATGCAACCGCTAGCAGCGGACAAGGCAAGCCTCTGGAAGCGTCCAAGTTTCGTAATTGCTGTTTGAAGTTCTGGTCTTGGCCACCAAACCAGGGCTCCATAGGCTAGCATTTGCCTGATTATGGCAGTGTATAGCCATATGGTTATCTTAGGCGATAAGCCCCATTTCACGCCTAGCATCTTTTTGCATTGATCGAGAAGGCGATCGTTGCTTTGTTTAGTTCGTGTTCTAGGTGTTTGTTCCAGAGCAGTTTACTATCCAAAATCACACCTTATACCAGATAAAGTAAAAATAAATTGTGCGTTCAAACCTTGCAAACATCAATGGACCTTTTTCCTGTGTGTTATTGTAGTAGTAATTTTTTTATAATTATAAGCTCCCAACTAGCGCATGGAGAGGACCACAGCATTCCACACCTCTCCAAAACTGAATCTGGTGAATGTCACATTCGTTAATCACTCAGCCGCAGCAGACGTCAATAGTTGTATTTGTAAATCAATTGTATTTATTAAAAACTTTACGGCAAATCTCCGATACACATTTGCAAATGGTGAAATCGGGAAATTCGTCTGACTGAAAATATCCTGATTGAAATCAGTTTATTTCCGCCGTCTTCAATCTAACTTTGTAACAAATTGCGTTTCAAGTTTTTTCAGCTTATTTCCGTTGTACTAAGTGTTAGATAAATGTCTAGAATTTATAAATTCAATAGTAACTTTTTCTGGCATTCTGATTACTATTTCAGAGAACTGAAACATAAAGCAATAGGGAATGATAGTTTCCGACACGTGAAATGCGGCGTAAGAGGGAGGGGGGATGTATGATCGGGTAAGAATGTAACTAAGACAAAAAAGCGTATGATGTCGCGAGACTAAAATCGTTATGACCATTCAGAAACAAATGGAACAGGCCGTCGTTTCGTCTTTGTCACCCGCCAGATGCTATCCCCCCACTAAGTAAAATCCTTGTCAAATTACGTAATTTATCGAAGGAAATAGTGGACAGTTCTCTTTTGTCGACTAGCCCTAATTCGTCATGGCCATAAAAACGTCAATCAATAATATTTCTTAAACATAATAATATAAATAATTTTTACTCTAGGTTTAATCTATGTATAGTTAAGCAATTCCACGCTGTCTTGTCTCCGATCTACCTCTACTAC